ACTAAGCAATGTGAAATTTTTGACAACTTCAACTTTTCTCCATTTATTGCAATGCTGCTTATTGGTCCAGTTGTGAGGACTTTTGTTTTCTTTATATTGAAGTGTAATCCATACTGCAGATTGTAGTCTTTGGTCTTCATCAGTAAGTGCTTCAAATCATCCTCACTTTCAGCAAGCAAAGTTGTGTTGCCAGCATATTGCAGGTTGTTAATGAGACTTCCTCCAATCCTCATGCCACTTTCTTCTTCATATAGTCCAGCTTCTCAGATTATTTGCTCAGCATACAGATTGAATAAGTAGGGTGAAAGGATACTTCCCTAATGCACTCCCTTCCTGATTTTAAAGCATGTAATGTTCCCTTGTTCTGTTCTGTAACATGTTTGGTCAATTTCAGACTGTAGATGTTAGTAAAAATCTACAGTTTCCTCATCTTTGTCTTTGGTGGTTGGTGCATAAAATTGAATAATAGTCATATTAACTGGCCTTCCTTGTAGGCATATGGATATTATCCTATCATTGACAGCACAGTATTTCAGGATAGATCTTGAAATATTCTTTGTGATGATGAATGTCACACCATTTCTCGTCAATTTGTCATTCCTGGCATAGTAGATCATATGGTTGTCTGATTCAAAATGGCCAAAACTGATCCATTTCAGCCCACTAATGCCTAGAATATTGATCTTTATGTGTTCCATTTCATTTTAGACAACTTCCAATTTTCCTAGATTCATGCTTCATACATTTCATGTTCTGATTATTATTGGATGTTTGCAGCTGTTTCTTCTCATTTTGAGTCATGGCAAATCAGCAATGGATGTCCTGAAAGCTCTACTTTATCCACATCAGTAAAGTCATCTATACTCTGATGAGGCAGTTCTTTCTAAGTTGTATTTTGAGTATCTTCCAACCTGAGGGGCTCATCTTCTGGCATTGTATCAGACAATGTTTCAGGGCTCTTCATAAAGTTGTCCAGTAACATATCAGTGAGTGTTTAACTGCTATTCATAAGGTTTTCACTGGCCAGTTATTTGAGAAGTGGATGAGCTCTTCCTTCTGATTCTGTCTCAGTCTGGAAGCTTTGCTGAAACCCATCCACCATGGGCAACCCTGTTTGTACTTGAAACACTGGTGGCACAGCCTACAGCTTCACAGCGACACACAAGCTACCACAGTATAACAAACTGACAGAAAAGTTGTTCCAAACCTCTCCATTCATTTACTGTCTTTCTCCCTATCTGTTCCAGCAGTGGGCCAGGCTACTGTTTCCTACCTGAGGTTCTCCCCTTATCTTGTCTGGTTGTGGGACCTGCTCCCGCTTCCTGTCCAGGGCTCTCTTCTTAACATACCCAAACATTTAACAACTCTTATTCTCAGATCAGGAGCCTGGTGGCATAGTGCCTAAGGCACTTGACTGCTAACCAGAAGGCTGACGGTTCAAACCCACCAGGCACTTCTCGGAAGGAAGGTTGGGCAATTTTCATAGTGATAACACTTTGGAGACCCAAGGAGAGGTCACTGTGAGTCAGCTCCAACTCCACAGCAGTGGGTTTGGTTTATTCTCAGATTAGCAGATTTTTTTTTCTTTTTTTCAGTGTCTAACACAGTATTTTCAAGCACCTTAAGTCTGTCTTTCTAGTTCATTTTCTGTCATTAATTCTAAATTCAGGCTATCAGTATTAGTTCATCCAGAAAGTTTTTTTTTTTTTTTCCTTCTTTTTTAATTAGTGAAGATTGCTTCAACTTGATTTTGGAACAGATTTGGTTGGATTATACCAAGAATATTTTAAAAAGAGAACAACATTGAATAAAACAAGATCCAATTTCAGTCTCAATAATAATAAGTGGTTCCATAATATTCATTTATCATAACCAATACATTTAATATCATAAACAAATGAACACTAGATTGAGGAAATTCTTGAGAAATTTATACAACTATCTTATAACACAAAATGAAAGACATTCAAATTATTATGTGACACTATCCCATTTCCCTTGTTATTATATTTTTATAGTTCCTAAGGGCAAATCTGTAATGATTTTCTTTTTAATGATTCACACCCACTGAACAATGTTCTCTATACCACCATTTAATGTTGCTATTCTTTTAAGAATTAAGTCTCTTTATGTTTCAGTTCAAAGTAATCTCTGACTCTTCTGTGCATTTTAATTTGGTTGTTATCAGAAGACTAGCTATCAAAATGAAACTTCAATTTCAATACTCAGAATAGACTGACTACAAAGTAACCCAATAATGGATTCACAATGGATAACTGCCTGATCATTTATTTAAAGGACAGAGCATGTTCCTATGTATCTCCTCCTCTACCTTATATTACTGTAAAAGTTACTTTCCAAAAAAACCAAACTCACTGCCGTCAAGTAGGATCCCACTCCTAGCAATCCCTCCTTAGGTCTCCAAGGCAGTATCACTACAGAAGTAGATTGCCCAATCTTGTTTACAAGGAATGGTTGGTGGGTTTGAACCACCAGCCTCTGGTTAGCAGTCAAATGCCTTAGGCACTTCAATATGTTCCAGATTGCAGAACTAGAAGTAAGCTAAATTTAAGAAAATAATTTCCTTTAATAAGTATATTATTTTAGCAAGATGTAACAGTGTTACAAGTTTAAAATATTTCAACTGCACTAGTTAAATAATATTAAAATTTATGTGTACTTTTGACTACTATATGTCATATGGGCAATTATGTCACAGACTTTATAATAAAATAGAGTTTCTAATTTTTAAAAAACAATATTCATTCAACTAGTTCTAGATATTTGTTTTGAGAATTATTATTTCTTTTTTTTTTTTTTTTTGAGTGGTTTAGGCTTATATCATATGTTAGAAAAGACTGATACTGAACAGCAAACAAACAAGCAAACTCACTGATGTCAAGTCATTTCCAACTCATAGCGACCTCTGCTTGGGTTTCCAATGCGGTATCTCCAAGAAAGTAGATTGCCCAATCTTCCTTCCTTCTGAGGAGTGGCTGGTGGGTTTGAACTGCCAGCCTTCTGGTTAGTAGTCAAATGCCTTAGGCACTAGGCCACCAGAGCTCCTAGAAAAGACTGATGGGTATGATAATAAAAGTCACTGGAAATTTGTGCAAATACAACTGAAATTTTATTTAAAAGTATACTGGAGACAACTAGAGAAATAAAATATTGAAATATATTGGAAGATGCCTTTTAAAAGGGTAAAATGCATTATTAACCCTGAAGCATCCAAATATATTGAGTACTTATTTTGAAGTTGGTAACTGCCCTAGGGAAAGAAAGATACTTTTATCTTAAAACGTATTTGTTCTTTCATTTACCCAATTCATATTTATTGACTGCCTGCTGTAGGTAATGCATTGACAAAACACACACTACCCTACCGCATGGAGGTTATATATATACTCTTTGGAAAGGCAATTGTCAAACAAGCAAACACAGCTGTGATGAATGCCACAAAAGACAAATAAGTTGTAGAAATATATTCAGGGAACTAATATTCTCCGAGGTCAGAGAAAGTCTTCCTGCAGACATTTAAGCTGAAGATGAAAAGATACATTGAAAAATCTTGGTGAGATCATGAGAATAATTTTCCAGCTGCAGGACATCCTAGGCAAGAATATAAGATGCTCAGTTATTTTTCCACAGCTAAAATCTCTATCTAGACTCTGAACCCAGTACAACCTTGAAGTATAAGGAAAGAATACAAAATGCTGTTCTATCAATACATATGCTCTTTACATTATAAGTAGCTCTGTGATGATTGTGGTTATGAAGTAATTGTATCTTCAGAAGAATCAAAAGCAACAGCAGCAATATTGTTACTGTTGTTGGGTGTCACTGAGACAATTTCGACTCCTAGCCTCACTGTAGGATAGAGTAGAACTGACCCACCCTGTTTCCAAGGCTATGATCTTCACAGGAGCAGGATGTCAGGTCTTCTTCCACAGAGGTAGTGGTAGGTTCAAACCACCCATCTTTCAGTTAGCAACTGAGCTTTTAACCATTACCCCACCACAGCTGCAGTAATAAACCCACCCACTGTCACTGAGTTGATTCTGACTCATACCAACCTCATTTGGTTTCTAAGGTTGTAGATCTTTACAGAAGTAGATTGCCTCATCTTCCTCCCATAGAGCAGCTGGTGGGTTTGAACCACTGCCTTCTGGTTAGCAGCCAAATGCCTTACAAACTACACCACTGAAACAATGACAACCAAAAATTCTAACCTAAAACCCACCACCATAGTATAGTGATAAGAGCAACAAGTTTGAGGCCAAACTTTATCCTTTAAGAAAATTTAATACTATTTAAATTCTACAGACATCATTTTTTTTTTTTTTTTGGGTAAAGTGAATATAATAATATGAGCTATTTTATAGAGTTAGTATAAAAATTAAATGAACTAATTCAAGTAAGACATTTAGCAGAGTTTTAGGCATTTATTTAACTATATCATTGCATCATTATTACTTATTTATAATTAAAATTGCTGTTTTTTAATATAACCTATGTAAATGTTTTCATAACTAATAGAGACATGTCATAAAAAATAAATAAATTGTATAAAATAGAGTTTAGGATTGAAATGTATATGATTTTAAAATGAAAATCTGATTATCTCAACAAAATTTATGTGTAAATCAGTTTTACATAACAAATGATAAAGGAAAAAAAATAGGTGACTCCAAAAATATGTTTGGTTAATAAAAAGCCCACTTATTTAGTAAGGATAATCCATATTATTTGAAAGACATCTTACTTATGAGAAACAAATATATAAACATAGCTTTAAATAATTATTTTCCATAAGAATAAGAGCTTATAATCTCAGTATTCACAAATGATGGGGTTCTAATATAATGCATATTGGGTAAGTTAAAGAAAAATCACAAGATAAAATGGTAAAAATGTAGATAGTAATATAAATAGAGGTTTAAAGCATTACTTTCTAATATAATGTTATAAATCTATTTTTATATGTTTCTTCATCTTAGATTTCAGACAGAATTGAATTATGATGTCCTGGAAGTGCACGATGGACCAAATCTTCTGTCACCCTTGCTTGGATCTTACAATGGCACACAAGTCCCCCAATTTCTGTTTAGTAGCAGTAATTTCATATACCTTCTATTCACAACAGACAACAGCCGCTCAAATAATGGTTTCAAGATTCATTATGAAAGTAAGTAATGCCAAATTTTCTTTGATTTCCTCATCTGTCTTTCCCTATATTTGATGTTACCATCATATCAATAAAAGAATTTGTAACTTTATTTTTTTTTTAAAAAAAAAGAAGCATCAAAGCTACCCTTGATGTATGAGGCTGCTAATGGTTTGAAAAGCTATATGATTTTATTAAATTCTGCATAGATTTTCCAACAATATATATCTACCTAATACCATTGGAAATAATAACAAAATATAAGTGGTTTCAAATAACAGTTCTTAAAATTGAGTTCATATGTTCATTATCTGTGTGCGGTTCTAAAACATAGACAATATCTATAAATGTCAGTCTGACACTTATGTGTGCCAATACTATATTCCTTTAGTATTTATTTCATAAATTCATTCTTTTATATTTTATTCATCAAATTCATATATTTTCCACTTAAATTATTCACTCTTACTATTTTGTATAAAAACTTGGAAATGACATTATCATTAAAAGGGAAAAAAACATATATTTAAGTCTGATTAGCAAGTTAGTTGAAGATGATATTAAAATTAGTCAGGCTGTAATTCACAGTGTTGAAATCAGTTTATAATTATCTCCTGTAAAAGGTCATAATTTAGTTTAAAATATAAAATATTTCAGATTTATGAGAAATAAATATGTTATTTGATGATGGTATAGACATAATAACAGTATATTTTTTATTTACAACCATCTTATATATTTATATATGTATGGATGTACTGCATATTATATGTGAATATGTACATACATATAGAAACACACATGTGCACACATTTTCATTGGGAAATGTGTTGCCGTGTACCTTTGCATGAAAACGATTTTGGTAAATGCATTTAAAAGCAAACTTCAGAGAATCATTGTAAGATATGTAGCTCTTTATCAATGCAGATATATAGATATTGTGCTATTTCTTTAAATATTCCATCCTCTTACCTTCACTCTTTCCTCCATCACACAGAAGAAAACATTTCTGCATTTGAAACATATCAGTTAATGTTCTCTGTTGAGTGTCTCTTTTCAATAAATATGATTAATGGACTCATGCTTTTTTAAAAAACGATAACCAAAACATATTCGTTGCTTTTTTCTGTTTAATATTCTTATCCAGAATATTGTTAAATTATGTTATCTTTCCTTCATAAGAGTACTGTGATAAGGAGTATGCTTCCTAAACATTATTATAAAAATAAACAAACAGATTCACACATACTTGGTAATGCAAATGAACTTCCTGTTGTTACTAGCTGCTGTAGAGTCCTTTCTCACTCAGAGCAACCCTATGTACAACAGAATGAGACACTGCCTGGTCTGCATAATGTTGTTAAATTTGAGCCTACTGTTCAGCCATTGTGTCAACCCATCTCCTTGAGGCTCTTGCTCTTTTTCTCTGACTCTACATAGCATGAACTTAACTCACTGCCATCGAGTCCAATCCGACTCATAGAGAGCCCTCCTTGGGTTCCCGAGGCGGTATCTCTATGGAAATAGATTGCCCAGTCTTCCCTCTGAGGAGTGGCTGGTGGATTTGAACCACCAGCTTCTGGATAGCAGTCAAATGCCTTAGGCACTATGCCACCAGAGAAAAGACCTTAACTGATATCTTTACTTTTCCAAGTATTTGCTGAAGCTGAGTCATAGTGCATCATTTTTGGAAACTATTTCAAAACTATTTCTTAGAATTCTTACTAGCAATTACTGTATATCAACACACCAGAAATGTAGTGTAGTTCACTAAAAATGTAGTGCAGTTCACTGCTGTGCCCTAAGCCCAGTAATCACATTTGATCTAATTCCACTCAGGATCTGTGTTCACTATCGTTTGACAGACACAGGGCTGTTATTTTAAGGACTAAATGAAACCATGCGTGCAAAGTGTCAGCAAAAGGGTTGACTTGCAGTAATCTCTCAATAAGCAATAGCTCTTGTGTTTTTCTTACAAAAACTAATCAAATGAAGAACAAAACAGAGAAACCCAATTGAAATGGATACCTTCAGTCAGCAAATTTGTCACCTTGTTGACGTACTTCAAGTTATTATAAAGGGTTAGTGACTAAAAAGACAAGTGGAACTAAAGAGCTGAGAGTGTGTGACACTGATTAGAGAGACACCTGATAATGGCTTTGTTCAAATCTAACTGCAAAGCAGTGACTCCATTTAAATTAGTTTACAAGAGATCATTTTCCCTCATTTTTATTCTATTAGTCTGTGGCTCACTTACTATTGTAACTATTGGGGAAACAAAAACCCCAAAGCTTTTTCTGTTGGTAGTCTTTTAATAGGTTTTCCAAGCAGATGGTAACCAAACTCTCTCTCTCTCTCTCTCTTTTTTAATTTTGTTGTTGTTGTTGAGAGTATACAAAGCAAAACATACACCAATTCAATAGTTTCTACATGTACAATTTAGTAACATTGATTACATGCTTTGAGTTGCACAAGCATTCTCACTCTCCTTTCCTGAGTTGTTACTTCCCAGTTAACATAAACTCATTGTGCCCTAAGGTTCCTATCTAATCTTTCAAGTTGCTGTTGTCAATTTGATACCATACAAATAGTTCTTAAAAGGGCAAAATGCTCAAGGCAGATATTTTTTGCTGGTTTAGCTAAGCTATTATTTGTTTTTAAGAAGACTTCAGGGATTTTTTTACATAAGAATTAAATGTTATCTCAGGGCAATAGTTTCAGGGATTGGTTCATCCAGTCTCTTAGCTCCAGAAAATCTGGAGTTCATGAGAACTTGAACTTCTGTTCTGCATTTTTTCCCTTTTGATCAAAGATTCTTTTATGAAGTGGTAACTGTGCCATTCAGTTCTGGTCAGAAGTTTGCTAGTGACCTTCTAAAACATGACATAACAATTGGTTGCTATTAGCCTAGACAAACTGTCTTTTTAAATGATCCATTCACAAACCTCAAAAAGAGTAGTTTGCTTAGTAAAACACTGAAAAAGTATTGGATATTTAATGAACTTCTATTTTTTAAAAAGTATTTCTATTAAAAGTAAAATAATTTTTTTTTCCAGTGGACTAAAATGCTATGGGAAGGGTTTCTTGCAATAGTACTATGGCTTGTACTCCAAGTTACCATTTGTTCCTTGTCTTTTGGCAGTTGTTATTAATATTATTAGTTTAGTATAAGACTATTAATAGTTTCCACACATTAAAAATCATAACAACAAATAATATAAAGTGGAGTTTAAAAATAAAAATCTCTGTTTCAGTAAACTATAAATTATAATGTGATACAGAACAAATCCATGGACCCAAATATCCATCTTCAAATATGTGTATTTTATGCATGTATAGATATAGTTTCTTTTTTCTAATTATGGGAAGTGGTTAACACCTAGGAAATATACACCTTAAAAGCAGTTGTTATTTTTAAGGTCAGTGTGTATGGGGAGGGTATGTGAAAAAAACAAAATTTAAAAAGTTCAAATAATTTTATTAATATAATAAATAAATAAGAGAAAACTTATGTGGAGGTTACTTTTTTGTTTGTTTGTTTTTTAAGCCAATTGTAGCAGTCACCAGTACTCCTTTATACTAGATGTAGAAAGAGTTTATTCTTTGTTTAAATCTTCCACTTAGGAAAAAGAAGATAATTACTTGTTTCACCTTCTATCAGTGGTTTTCACCTGATATGTGTATCAGTACACAACTGGGATGATTTTGCATCCCAGGGAATATTTGGCAGTATAGAGAGACGTGTTTGTTTATAATACTAGAGGCAACTACTGGCTATGAGTCGGGGCCGACTCGACGGCACACAACAACAACAACTGGCATCTAGTGGGTAGAGCCAGGGACACAGCTAAAGACCTTATAATGCACAGGAAAAACTCCCCACCACAAAGAATTATGCGGTGTGAAATGCCAGTAGTGCTAAGTTTGAGAATCCATGGAAAAGCATGTCATGTTATCAGGGGAAACTCTAAGAATTGCAAACCACATGGAAGAGTATCACTAAGAGAAACCAAGTACATTATATTGTTGTTATGTACTGTCGAGTCAGACATGACTCAAAGTGACCCCTCCTTGGGTTTCCGAGGCAGTAACACTACAGAAGTAGAGTGCCTCAACTTCTTTCTGAGGAGTGGCTGGTGGGTTTGAACCTCCAGCCTTCTCGTTAGCAGTCAAGTGTCTTCGGCACTGTGCTACCAGAGCTCCCAAGTACATTATACACTATCAAAAACCTAGAGCAATTGGCCTTTTTTTACTAAGAAAAGTACTGGTGTAATTAGAAGAGTAGTTAGAAAGGTCCTACAATGAACTTTATATATAAACTTATAATTTAAAAATTGTTTTAAAAATTTCAAAAAAAAACCCTCACTGCCGTTGAGTCAAATCTGACTCTTAGCAACCTCTTTTAAACACAATATAAATGTTAAGTATATTATTGTATACTATTACATATAATGCTATTATACTTTATTCATGATAACATGAAAGAATCAAGTATTTCCTAAACAATCAAATGGAGGATTAATGGTAAAACTAATTTCATAGGATTCTTTTCAAAATTAAGTGGGACAATGCCTATACAAATATTTAGAACTGTGCATGGAACATAATAACTTTTATTACTGTGTTTAAAATAATTTTAAACATGAAAGCTAACTATACAGAATATGGGAGATAACTACACATTTCCATCAGATCATATATAATTAAATGGCTGAATTTTATCCTTGTTTATAGGAAATGTCAAAAAAGAAGTTAATGATTTGATTTTTTTAAAATGACATTATGAGCGCATTAATGATTGCTAAATAATCACTAGCAATCTTTTGAAGAAATAGGAATCCTTTTCGGCAAATCTGGTTCTCCTCAAGTTTACTCTGTGTTGTGTTTCCTTTGACTGTCAGGTGTTTTAGTGAACACGTATTCTTGCTTGGATCCTGGCATACCGGTGCACGGCCGGCGCTACGGTCATGACTTCTCCATTGGGTCTACTGTTTCATTTAGCTGTGATCCAGGATATCGACTGAGCCACGAAGAGCCCCTTCTGTGTGAGAAAAACCACTGGTGGAGTCATCCACTCCCAACTTGTGATGGTAAGAACTCACTCGATGTGCAGAACACGCTGGTTTATAAACGAAAAAGGACTCAGCATAGTCTGTAAAATGCAATTTAATGTAACTGTAAACGTTTAATAGTTTCTTTAAAAATCTTGATATTTATTAAACCAATATGAAATAAAATGAGATACTGATAATTAGAAGGATTGAGGTTTTTTTTTTTTTTTTTTTTTTTTTGGCGAACTCCCGGGAACATTCTTTATTCCAGAATATGCAAAAACAGAAAGTAATCACGAAGCATGTGCTGCATTTTTAAGTATGCGGATGGAACCATTGTAAATACACATTGTGTACTAGGACCTTTGGAAAAAATGACGTTGAAATGCTCACTTAATGTGAGACGAATGCATTGAAGTAATAGGGCATTTGCCGCCAGCCTTGGAAGTCAGAATCCAAATGGCAGCTACAGCATCATAAGGAGCACTGGTGTCACTGTGGTTTAAGGCACTGGCCTGGTGACCTAAAAGGTCAGCAGTTCAAATCCACAGCCACTCCACAGGAGAAAGATGAAGCAGTCCGCTTAAGCAAAGATTTACAGCCTTGGAAATCCAATGAAGCAGTTATACTTTCTCCCACAGGGTAGCTAGAAGTCAGAATTGATTTGATGGTGGTGTTGTTGTTGTTCTTTGCCATCAAGTCGGCCCCGAGGTATATTTTGGTATACAGCATCTTGGCAATTTACCTAGACTGCCTGTGATTCTTAGTTATAACAACTCATATTAGGGTCCTTTCAGCTTCTTTGTTTTAAACAGAATAAATCAGAAAGTATTTATTTTCCAGGAAACACATGGGAAAATACAGTGGAAGAAACTGCTTCTCCTAAGATTGGGACATGTTTTCCTTCTTGCCCCATCAAAAAGCACACATGATATAAATCTATGTGTAACTTAATTTGGGATTTAATTTTTGTATGTAGCATTACTCCTAACTTCTATACTTCTTTCTCATTGTAGACAATTATGTGTTTTATTTTATACTTAAATATTCAAGTACTAGTCAGGGCTGACTTGACGGCACATAACAACAACAACAACAACAAGTAACAGTGTTAGGCTAATTTCTTTTTATTGTTGTTGTTGTTGTTATGTGCCGTCAAGTCAGCCCTGACTCATAGCGACCCCTCCTTGGGTTTCCGAGGCAGTATCACTATGGAAGTAGGATTGCCCAACCTTCCTTCCGAGGAGTGGCTGGTGGGTTTGAACCACCAGCTTTCTGGTTAGCAGTCAAGTGCTTTAGCCACTATGCTACCAGAGCTCCCATTGCATCAAATACAGGCAAGATGGACTGATGGTGCTTTTAAACCTTTAAATCTTGTTATTTCTTTTTATAACAAGATTTAAAGATTTAAAAGCACCATCAGTCCATCTTGCCTGTATTTGATGCAACATTATTATATTAATTAGCTCTTTTGTGATTGTGACAGAAATCCAACTCTAACTAGTTTTAAAAAATAAAATCAGAATTTATTGTTGAACTATTCAAATTTTAGAAAAGGCAGGTATGGCGTATTTCTTATGGTTAAATACAAGCACAAATTACAATATTTTCAAGAATCTTTCCATTTTTCATCTTAGCTTTCCTCTGTGTATTGACATAATTTGCTTCAATTGTAGCCAGGTTTTATTATTTTTCCATCTTTAAAACAAAAGCAAAATGCTAGATCTGTTATTCTTCCCTCATATTTATTTTAAGGATTTTGTATAAAAAGCAAACGTACCCGTTTAAATAGTTTATGGATACCTGAAATACTTGGAATGTAGGTGATAAGGTAAAGGACATTACCTTTTTCTGCTTTTAGTTAAATATTACAGCCTTGGAACCTAAATCTTATGAGGAAGTTTGTTCTGGTTACCTACTGCCACTCTGACAAGAATATACCACAAATGGGATGGCCTTAACAAACAGGAGTTTATTCTCTTACAGTTTGGAGGCTTGAAGTCCAAGTTCAAAAATGCCAGGCTCTAGGGGCTGAGTGAAAGTCCCTCAGCCTTGGGTTTCAGATCTACCTCCAGCTCCCAGGCCAAGCCCAAGGTTGACAAGTAAAAAGGCACAGTTTTGGTATTACCAAATCACACAGCAGGCCATTAATTCAAGTCCATTGTAAGTCTCAAGGTCGGCAGAACATGGCAGGCTGCTGAATAACCACATGGCTACATGCAGGGTTCAAGGTGCCATAAGCTCGAGACTATCCCCAAGGCTTCTCCTTATATTCAGGAAGCAGACCACATCTCAAAGGCAGCTACTCAGCTGCTTGTTATAGATCCCACCATGGAGTTGATTGCCAGTAGCATCATGGGGAATAACTACCACCAGCTGCCCAGCCACTCAACCAGGCCCAGCCAAGTTGACATACAAATTTAACTACCACACAGTTCTACTCTGTCTGTAGGAGTGCTATAGTCAGAATCAACTTGACAGCAATGGGTTTGGCTTGGTTTCACCCTCATTTATCTCATTTGAAATGAGAACTTTGAATTCAGTTCTGTTTGCTGGGTACTTAAGTTTCTGAATGAAAATTAATGCTTTATAAATTCATCATCTTTCACAATTGACTAAGGAAACTTAAACCTCAAGTCAGAAATAGTTAGATTTAAAAAAAAAAAAAAAAAGACAAAATAAATAAAATCTGGAAACCCAAGGAGGGGTCGCTATGAGTTAAGTCTGACTCCACAGCAAATAACAACAACAACATTTGATAGAAACATTTGATTGATAGATGGACCACATATCCAAAATGTGGACAGCACTCTGTTTTCAGCTTTTGTCCTGGTAGCCTTTTAAACTCTCAGACTATCCCAGTTTTGTTGTTGTTGTTGTTGTTGTTTTGTTTTGTTTTAAATAAAGAATAAGGCCATCTTTTATTTGAGAAAATTTTGTAGTAAAGAAGATACGAGATTCACTCTGATGATCCACATCCTTAAAAACAGTACCCAATATTGAATTGAATAGAGTTTAATCCTCAGCATTTCCTTTATTTAGTCCATCCAATTAAATGGTTTAATATATGGGCTAAAGTGGTTAAAAAAAAAAAAAAGGCATGTGGCTTGAGGTTTAAGATCCAAGATCCAAGAGTCCAATATCAACAAGTTTGCCTAGAATCCAAGTATGAACAGTCTCAGACAAGGTAAAGAGTTCAAGGTGGGGACACTGGGAATAGTAAAAGAACAGACTTGAGATTAACAATAAGCAAACACAATTGTGATGGGATTTGTAGTAGGTGAATATGCTCATATTCCTTTATAATTTTGATGTGTCCCAGGTTTCAGATCCTACTGACAGGATTTGCAGCGCTATCCAAGGCAAGGTCCAGTTTTACAGGTCTCAGCAATTACATTAAATGGCTAAGATTTTGAGGAGACATAACGCTTCTAAAACTGTAGTGGATACTTTTCGTCATTTGATAGACAGTAATAATACATGGCAAATGTTAGGAGGGAAAAAAAACTGCCAGCCAAGATTACTGAATGTCATGTTTCGGTCTGTTACTGCGACTTAGTCGGTTGTGCAACTGATCTTTTTCTTTTAGTTCTCCCCCACACCTTAGCTATTTGCCTTCCTGTAAAGTAACTTCATATAAACTTTAATATGTATTTTATCCTTCCTTGTGTTCATTACAGTTTTTCATGGGTTCATTTCACATGTAATTTGTCTATTTATTATTCACAGAAGCACACACAAACAGCTTATGTGTGTTACATATCCCTAGAGCCATATGGCATCATTTAACAAGGTAGTTGGAATAAATTTAGATTCTTTCAGAAGAGATTATGATAGTGGACAAGGCAGAAGATCCATGACATCCTTTTTAGACACTCTTATTCCATAGTGTCTAAGGCACTTGACTGCTAACCAGAAGGCTGGTGGTTCAAACCCACCAGCCACTCCTTGGAAGGAAGGTTGGGCAATCTACTTCCATAGAGATACCGCATCGGAAACCCAAGGAGGAGTAGCTATGAGTTGGGTCCTACTCGATGGCAGTGAGTGTTTTATTCTAATGGAGTTTACTATATAAATGGCCTGTATATTCTCCTGAACTGATTTAATTCTCAGCATCCCTTTTAAAATAATTTCTTCTTGGGGTTTTAACATTACATTTGAGTTATTTATTTATTTTTTTTAATCTGAAGCTAAAAGCGAAGTGTTACATACAAAAACTCAAATCTCCTTTTATTCATTTTAATATTTTAGGACTCTCAAACTTGATTCTAATATGCCATTTCTCATTTACTTTTATACTTTTCTTATTATTCTCATAGAAGTGGCACTGCTCACATAAATATCCAGTATTTCAGTCCCCAGTATTGAAAGTTTTCAGGAAAGCAATAATCAGATTGGAAGAATATTCAGTAAAGAATTGTCTACTTATAAAATTAAAGTGATTCAAATAAGCTTCGTATTCAAAGTCTATCAGTGCATATTATGGCAATTGTTCATGATTGCTCAAAACAACACCAATATAAAGCAAATACGATTCAAAACATTTGCAATGTAAAACATTCTTATTTAGAAATCTTATGAGGTTGATAGAAATAATAATGGTGATAATGATAGAAAACTTTCCATCATGTGCAAAATCATTGACAGATGAAAATCAAGAGGAGATAAACCAATTAAAGATAATAAAATTGTTAAGGATACTGACATGTTAGATGTTAAGTGCTTAAAAAGAAATGATTTGAAGATGAAATGATTAAATGAATCTTTGAGAAAAAGATGAAGGCATTGAATATTTGTATAAACTGACCCCCAATGGAGGTGCTGCAAAGTTAAACATAATGAAGAACATGAAGTTTACTAGTGTATGTATTTTTTGTTGGAAAATTAATATGTAATGTGAAAAAAGTCAACATTTGATTCAAGAGCCCGCTTAAGATCTTGAACTCTGGCACTGGGACTACACGTATTTGTTAAGTACTTACTTTATCACTTGTTCTCGGAAGGAAGGTTGGGCCATCTACTTCCATAGAGACACTTCCTCGGAAATCAAAGGAGGAGTCACTATGAGTCCAATCGACCCGAGGGCATTGAGTTTTGTTTTTTTGTGTGTGTTTTGTTTTATTAAGTGTGCTTTTTCATAGAATGGTATGGGCTTAATTGAGTTAAAGATTGTAAAGTCTGAAGAATAGTGCTGAGCACATTTTAAATTAGATTGGCTTTGTTCTGTTTTTGCTAATAATTAGTAAATAGTCACAATTCTATCTTAAGCATTGTTCAATATAAAATATATTTGTTTTCATATTTTTAGTGTCATCTAGCAAAAACAATCTAAAAATTTCTGTGCTATTTTCCGCGAAATTATGTTTCAAGTCAATTTCCCTCAAGGCTTATGTCCAGTACTAGCTGTTCTCAAATAACAGGAACCTGCACTATGTCATAATAATTTACTATATACTTGGCCATCCTGATTATAGTCAAAGTAACAGTATGAATTCTCCTGTATATTAGCTACTGATGAATAACTCGGTTCTTCTAAATATTTTAATTTATATACCATTAGAGTCTTAGTTCAGAAGGAAGACTGGGCAGTATACTTCCATAGAGATACCACCTCAGAATCTCAAGGAGGGGTCACTATGAGTCAGATCAAACTCCATGGCAGTGCATTTTTGTTGTTGCTGCTGTTTGTTTGTTTGTTTTGTATTTTGTTTAGAGTTTTAGTGTACTAATGCTGCTGTTATATAAATGTCTTAATTTCTGGTGGCTTTAAAAAACAGAAATTTAGTTTCTCACAGTTCTGTAGGCTACAAATTGAAATTAGGGTCTTGGCCATGTGAATTTCTTCCTTGTTAGTATTCCAGGGTGCACTTTGGTTTCTTGGCATTCATTGGCTTGTAGACAACCTTCACATGTCATCTGTCTGCCCTGTGTGTGGGTCTCTGTGTCTTTAGAAGTGAAGGAGTTCAAGATCTACTGGATACTTGCTTACCTTATTAATGTGACAAAAGAAAAACCCTATTTTCAAAAGGGCCATATTTACAGGTATAGGAGTTACAATTTCAACACATATTTTGTGGGGACGCAACTCAATCCATAACACTAACTTTAGTCCAACAATATTTCCTTAACTCCCAACCTTCTACACAGGTATAGTGGCAGCAGCTTGAGGACAGAAAATTCCTGATAAAAAATCCAAGTACAGAAAGTAAGATCCTTGACAAAGTAGCTTTATTCAAAGACATTTGAAGAGGAACTTTCCCTCTGCTCATGATACACATATACACATACACACTTACATACACACGTGCCTACATCGAGGAGCACATAGGTACCATAGTTCTAAAAATTTATCTGTCTTTTTTGTTACTATTTGTATTTTTCACCTAAATTTTATTCTCTTTAATTTTGATTCTTCTGTTCACTAAGAAGTTCTAAGTTAGCTGAATGAGGAAACCACCTTTCTGAGGTGGTAAATCTTTATGGAAGTAGATTGCCCAGTGTTCCCTCTACAGAGTGGCTGGTGGGTATGAACCACTAACCTTTCGGTTAACAGTCAGAGGCCTTAGGCACTGTACCACCAGAGACTCCTGAATGAGGTGTAATCCTTTCAAATGAACATTTTAATTCCATTTTAGGTGTTAATTCAGTAGAGTACTTTCAATCACATTTTACTCAACATGTTCATATTATTTTGTAGTTGTTGCTTATTTTGTGTGATTATTGGAATATGGAATGAAATAAAATAGTGCATTAGAAATAAATTAAGTAAAAATAAGAAAGAACAACAAAAAGTCAGTCTTCCATTTAGAAACTGAATGAAATGCAAGGAAAATAAAAACAGATCAAATTTTTACTACCATTATAAGCAAGATACAGTGGAAATGATTACTCTATGTGGTCATTACAGTAAGGTGATCACATCATTGTATCATGATTACGTTGATTGTAAAAGCATGATATAACTTTTAAAAATGAAAAAAAAAAAAAGGAAAGTTCAATAATATTGTCAGTGAAGGGCTGTGAAGGCACTGAATAGCAGCACTCACTAAACCATCCATACTAGGCAATGTTTTGATGTAAATGAGATTAGAAGCACATGCTCACGTTGTAGGTAGGCAGTTTATAAAGCAACTTCAAGAGAGACACAGGATAAGAAAATGGATAGAATAAAACAAGTAATCAAAGAAGGTGTGTTTTTATTTTGTTTTTACAAATAACTCTATATGCTTAAATACTTTGAGGAACTGCAGCCACATTACTTCTGGAAAGGTCACTGTAGAATAGCAGCCAGGTATGAGGTATCATCTCTTCCAGTCAGCACTGCTGCTTGGAAGAATGCATGTGTGAGAACAAAAACAAAACCAACTGCTGGTGTCCCCCGTAAACTGGACAGGGATCAAGTCAGAAACGACTGAAAGTTGTCTTCATCCTGTTTTCTCCTGCACTTGCCTATATCCGAGAGCAATGGCCTCTCCAAGGGAAATAAAACAAGGAGTGAATAGCTTCTTCTATTAGAATATAGTGTCTTCCTCTAAATTTTAATACGAGTCTCTTCTAATTTTTAATACTGATAACACTGGTATAGTATAAGCACCGATACTTGTTGAATGTGGCCAAGGACATTGTAAACTGTGATTTGTGAATATTTAATCAAATTGTAATTAATGTGATCTCACTGCATAAACATTTATATATTTTTATTATCTTGAGATATCTACTTATAATTTGTAACAATCCCCCAAAATCCCTTAGTTCATGAAATCTCAGAGAATTTCAGAATTGGAGAAGCAGCCTTCAAAACCTTGCAACTTCACTTTTTTAAATGAAACCTTGGAAGTATAAGATACAACATTTAGGAAACTATAATTAACAATTCATTTTCTTAACGATTGATAAGAAAGGAGCTGCTAAACAATTATTCATGTTTAATTTACAACCAATCTATGTAAATGTTGCTTATAATTAGAAACGACAAGTATATACTTAAAATTCAAATGTGGAAAGTTGAGCTATCTTCTGTTGGGGCCAGTATTGATTCTCAGAAGCTATTAAATACTTTTCTCTAGTGTTGCGATGGATAAAATGGTTTCCTAGTATTGGAAGGAATACTACTTTTATTAATACCAGGAAGTAGCTTAAACCAAAAAAAAAAAATCATACTTATCCTATTCCAAGAGAGGAGATAAGAGATTTTTTCAGCCTGTGCCTGTCTGGGACTTATCATGGCTCTATTTCTCTGTATTTTCAGCATTGTGTGGAGGAGATGTTAGAGGCCCTAGTGGAACAATCTTATCGCCTGGCTACCCTGAATTTTATCCAAATTCTCTGAATTGTACATGGACTGTTGATGTAACCCATGGAAAAGGTAATATGCCTCATACAATATAATTGGACTATCTATTCAATTTTCGTTGTACCTATTTTATTTCATTTTGTCCTTCACAATGTCATTTTTCGTGAACAGAAACAGATCAGTAATAAATATGCCATAAATAAAATTCAATTTGAGTAACTGCTGCAGAAGATTACATTTATTTTCTTGAAGTATTATAGTATATTCATATTTTTTAGGAAAAAAAAGATTCTGTAAGAGTTATTTATTTTCTTTTGGTTTATTAAACTAATTTTATTTTGGAATTTTCATATGAACAAAGCATCAGACAGGATGGCTTTTGTCTCTGGCATTGTGTTCAGGTTTGATTTCAAAAGTTCAAAGAGAGAAACAAAGATGTGAAATTCTGAGCCTGTTATAAGACAAACAGTACGCACTTGTTTTGAAAATGCTTAAAAAATGCTTATGTTTATTTATCACATTTTTAGTCCTCATATACACTTATAATCATTCTAAAAATACTTGTGTCTCTAATTCCCTAATACAGAACTATAGATATATTTCACAGGATTGAACTGGAGTGTAAATTTGCTTTGTGCATAAAATAGATGTTAATAAATGTCCCTTCAATAAATAGATGAAAGACCTTGCAGTATTGAATAGACGCATTCACGCAATGCAGATAAACTAGCAAATTAGCAATATAGCTGATGAAGATAGCAATTTCCAAAAAATCAAACTCACTGCCAAGGAGTAGCTTCCGACCCTTAGCAACCTCCATTGGGTTTCCAATGTGGTAAATCTTCCTTCTGTGGTAAATTTCCAGTGTGGTAAATCCAATGTGCCCCATCTTCCTTCTGCAGAGCACCTGGTGGGTTCGAACTTCCAGCTTTCTGGTTAGCAGTCAGATGCCTTTAGCACATCTCCTTTAAGATAACAATTTGACATTGGAAAAACAGTCATCCTAATATAGCAAAATGAAAATAGATTGAAAGTATTGATCTGGAATTATCTATATGAAATATTTAAAACCAGGTAATGTGTACTTGTCAAAATCTGTTTCTGAGAAATAGATTTTCTTTTACCTCTTGTTTTATTGCTCTTATTGGTATTTTTACTTTTAGAAAATGTTTTGAAAATGTCAAAACATATATAGCAAAAATGTGTATCAATGAGAAGAGAGTGTTATAATTCTAAAAATAAAAGTTTTATTTAATCTATTTAAATTCCTTAAGGTTTTACAAATAGGATTTGCACTTAATGAAATTATATATCATTTTCATAGAGTAATTGGGAGTTCTGGTGGCATAGTGCCTAGGGCATTTGACTGCTAACCAGAAGGCTGGTGGTTCAACCCACCAGCCACTCCTAGGAGTCCAGATTGACTTGACGGCAGTGAGTTGTTTTTTTGTTTTTTTTTTTTTTAATGTTGGAGCAGTGAGTAAAGCATTTAATTACTATCCCAAAGGTCAGTGGTTCAAACCCACCCAGCCTAGAGAAAGATGAGGCAGTCTGCATCTGTAAAGATTTACAACCTTGGAAACCCTATGGAGAAGTTCTACTCTTCCTGTAAGGTCACTATGAGTCAGAATCCACTGGATCACAGAGGATATGGTTTGGTTTAATTAGACTATCACTGGGAAAAAATAAAATGAGTATTGTGATATTGAACAGATGGAAATAGGTAGAAGACTGTCATGTGAGATTTTCTTGTTCTCCGTAATATAAGTCTGTTTGCTGGAAGTCAACCAATCCATTAAACCCATTGATGTCAAGTCGATTGTGACTCACAGCAACCCCGTAGGACAGAATAAAACTGCCTCATAGGATTTCCAAGATTGTAAATCTTTACAGAAGCAGACTGCCATATTCTTCTTCCACAGAGTGGCTGCTATATTCCAGCCACTGACCTTTCAGTTAGCACCTGAGTCCTTAACCATTATGTCCCCGGAGCTCCTTCTGAAAGTTAACCAAAGCATCCTGTTATTGTAGTGTGCAGTGGATTAATGGAGTTTAAAATAAATTCCTCTATATTATATAAGAAGATTGAGGGCTATATACTGCTTTCTATGTAAATAGAGATTTAATTAACACTTAAAGCTTTGCATCTTCACAGGTTGCAAGTGTTAATTAAAACCGTATTTACATGGCAAGGAAGGCAAATTTAGATGTCTTTCTTTTAACAGCCAACAAAGTTTATTTGAATTACAACTATTCCAAAGTGTAGCCAAAGTTATATGAAGGATAATCTCTTAAAATAGGGAGAAAATGTAGAGGTAACTTATTACCCAACACACCGATGCTGTCTACAGTGTTCCATAAACATGATGAACTGGTGTGATCTTGGTAATTCCATCAACTGGAATTTAGTAATTAGAGAAACTTACTCAGTGTTAGTACTGTTCTAATTGTTTGAAAGTTATTTTGCAATAGTCATCCTTGTTCTGTTCTCTGAAATTATATAAAAACCTGTTTCTGAGAAGTAGATTTTCTTTTACGTCTGTTGTTTTATTGTTCTTATTTATATTTTAAGTTTTAGAGAATGTTTAAAAAAATCAAAACATACATAGCAAAAATGTTTATCAATGAGAAGAAAAAACAGTGTAATCCTTGTTGCAACCTAGATTCCTCAAGTATTATGTTTATCACGTCCTGAAACCCCAAACTTACCCAAGCTTTTTTCTTTCCAGACGGAACATTCCCAGGTCCTTCAGTTCTTTATCATAGGCATAATTTATAGTCATTACCACTCTAAATCACGCCTCTTTAAATACTCAAGCTTTTCAGAATTCCCTTAAGACATAGTTTTCTAAAACTAAACCCAGTATGTAGTGGTCAGTTTCTACATATTATATTAGTGGAGTCCAAGCTTTATTTCATTTATTTTTTTGCTGCCACGCCATACAAATAATTTATAAGGAATATGTTATTATTGTTATCGTGTGTCATTGTGTCAATTCTGACTCATAGTGACACTACAGGACAGAGAAGAACCGCCTCATAGGGTTTCCTAAGCTGAAGTCTTTGTGGGAGATCACCAAGTCTGTTCTCCTGAAAGCAGTTGGTTGGGTTCAAGCTTGTCACCTTTTGGTTAGCAACCAAGCACTTAACCCATTGTGCCACTAAAGCTCCAAGCAATATGTAGTCAGTTCAAGAGCTCTTTTAGATCAGGGGGAACATAAGTATAGTTAAGCATAACCACTAAATTTCTATAAATATGCAATTGAATCTTTCTTTTCTATCTTCAGTGCAGGCTTTTATATTTACTGCCGTTATATTTCATCATATTGGTTTAGATCCAAAGTTCCTATGGGATCATTTTAAATCTGCAGTCTGTCACACAATGCCTTAGCTAGCTTTCAATAATACATTCATTCATCATGGTATTTTTTCTGTTCTCCTTAAAGACTTTATGATTATAAAATATAGTACATGTTGATCATAATAAATATTTTTAAAATGAAGATGAGAAAAATCACCTTTAACCTCACCAATCTAAGTGAAACACTTATAATATTTTGTTGTATTTTCTCCCATGTTTATTTATACATACTTTTTATAGCCACATACTGCGAATACACTGTATGTATAGTTTCATAGTGTTCTACTCTCATTTATAATTATTTAACAGAACTTTCCTAAGAAAGCTTGATCTTCAAGGTTTTTAAAGGATTTTTAGAAATCTTAACTAGGAACTCTCTAAGTATAAATATCTAAACATCTAAGATATAAGAAACTTCAAACATACCATCAATGATACCTTCCCCCCTGCTTAACATTAAATCAAAGATTATGAATACAGACGATTGTGCAGCATTTTCAAATTCATTTGTCTACAGTGGCTTTAGCCTATATTGTTCCTTGTTTACAATGATATCATAAAAGATTTTTCTTGAATATTTTATATATATCAAGATAATGATTAAATTTTGTCTGCTGGAGGTCTTTAGAAAAAAAATAAACTACAAAAAAAAAAAAAGAAAAACCACCCACCAACCCCACTGACATCCAATCTATTCCTACTCATAGGCCACCCTAGAACTGTCCCATAGGGTTTCCAAGGTTATAAATCTTCCCTGAAGCAGACTGTGGCATCTTTCTCCAGTGAACCAGGCAGTTGGGTTCAAACCACTGCTCTTTCAGTTAGCAGTCTGATGCTTTAATCCCTGTACCACCAAAAAAAAAAAAAAAAAAGAACTCCCATAGAGTCAATTCAAATCATGGCGACCCCTCCTTGGGTTTCTGAGGTGTTATCTCTATGGAAGTAGATTGCCCAATCTTCCTTCTGAGGAGTGGCTGGTAGGTTTGAACCACCAGCCTTCTGGTTAGCAGTCAAGTGCCTTAGGCCTTATACTGCCGGGGAAGGGGGGCGAAATATCAAACTTGGAAGTAAATTCATTCCCATGGTTTGGCTTTCAGCCAAACAATAGGTCAATAAGGGGAAGATAACACCAGAGAAGTATGCTTTCCTCAGAACAATCAACCATTTGAGATCAAAAGGACCCAATTTGTCCAAGGAGAAAGTTCAGTAGGCTGGAAGGGATTAGCAAGAAGGATGAATGGAAATAGGCAATGTAAGGAAGAAATGGGATGAGTGAGTTACATTGTAGGGATTGCAATGAATGGTGTGAAACAAAATGTGTATGATTTGTTTAATGGAAAAGTGATTTGTTCTGTAAATCTTCAACAAAATCACAATAAAAAGTTAAATAAATAAATAAAAACCCTTAGACTTAGTATATTAAATATTCAATCTTGTACTTGAAAATATTATGCTAAACAAAGTAAACCAGACACAAAAAGACTGATATTGTATGATCTCACTTACAAGAAATATTTCAAATAGGCAAATGCATAGAGACAAAAGTGGGTTAATAGTTACCAGAGTTTGGGAGGCAGTGGTGGTTGTTGTTAAGTGCCACCAAGTTTGCTCCAACTCATAGTGACCCAATGTACAAAATGTAAAACACAATGAAACACTGTCCAGTCCTGTGCCCTCCTCACAACTGTTACCACTAGCTCATAATCATAGC